CTCTTTAGTTGGTAACCGTATCCAATAGGTTTGACCCCAAAAATTGCGATTTACGACAATATCAAGAACACCTTGTCTCCTACTTCTTATTGGCCTGGTTTCGCGCACCTGGTGTAATATTTCACTTATCGCAACTTCGCTTGCTACAGAGTCTCCTGTGCGAGTGTACAAACTTCTTCAATTTGTTTCGCAAATCAGCGATGTACTGATAGGTAGTCTCAGTATGGCGATGAGACCATGGACGGTCCTACCATTAAGATTTTCCAAGGGTGAAAAGCCTAAACTCGCTTGTGGTACTTCCCGATATGCGAAAAGCACGGTAGGAATATACCGATTCCAATCTTTTGGACGGCCTTCACACAGCCTCTATAGCGTGATTTTAGAGTCCCGTTAAACCGCTCGACCAATCTGTTAACTTGGCATGATGCGCTATAGTCGTGAGGTGCTCAATCGACATCCCCCAGCGTTAAAAGTAATGAGATATACTGATCATTTATATAGACTGAGAAACTAATGAGATGAACTGAAAACTAATGAGATATACTGATAATTTATATAGACTGAGGAACTAATGAGATGTACTGATTATTTATATAGACTGAGGAAACAAATATGAGACAATATCTAGATATTGCCTGTTGGAGATATTCAATTATCAGTTCCCAGGATTAATTTTCATGGTGTTATTTAAAGCTGATGAACAACGTGCGCCACCCATACCTTTCGCGATATTGTTGTTGGATTCATATCTGAATTATCATTATCTGATTGAATAAACGAATGATAAATAAAACGAATATCGGTTTGAATTTTGCGATTTCAGTTTTGAATATTGTGCAATAATATCGTTTTCCTATTGACAATATTATTTGATGTTAAATGAAAAACTGAACAATTATATTTTGTAATAGTCGTATTATTTACACAAAAAAACAACCAACATCAAATGTGTTTCATTTAGTGTTTGGAATGCAACACTAACCAGAAAGGATGGTAAATCTACCCAACTGATTTAGTGATCAAAACTCTATCGCGTTGGATGAGATACTGCGTTTACTTTGTCTGCTTTTAACTCCTTTCTGTGCATTCTTCAAAAGTGAACTATCTCTAAATCTTTGTCATTCTCTCCATACAAACGCGAATTATGGTGGTAAAAGATCCTGAAGCAAATTCAAAGTTCAAAAGCCCCACCCACCCGCATCACAAAAATGTACCACTTAATCCAGTTGAGCTAGGGGGACTCGAATGTCCGATAAAACCATAACACTATTTCTGGCTGCAATGCTGAACAAAAGCCGTATACTCATTATGTCGTTATAAGACGGAAAAAATTCTAATCACTGAGATCAAAAGCCGAAGTGATATTGATGACATCGATCCACCTGCTGTGAATGAAATGGTCACTTTAAGTTGCAAGCGAAAAAGAAATTATAAAGTATTACTGGATACCTCTTTAATCCCAAACCATGCTTTTTGTGATAGAAGAATTAAACTTTCGTTGGTAGTAATTGTTTGTTTCTTTCTATGTTTGCTTCACTTGCTCTATTAAGGTTTGCTTCACTTGCTCTATTTAGCAAGTCTGTGCGCAAACAACATATATATATGCATGCATCACACACACACACACACACACACACACACACACACACACAATAGGTGTGCAGTCGCCAATATCTGCCATTGCAAATCTTTCTGTTTTTAATACGTTTATTAAGTCAAAAATAAAACCACAACGACTGGATATTATTGAATATAGTCGTCACTATCTTTGGGGCAAATGACGTTGTCGTTATTTTCCCACAGTTCGTCCCTTTTTCCTGTGTTGTTTTTGTGTGTGCAGTCGCATGGCTGTATGTATGGCAGGTCACCTGATCCTACTCTGGGTATCTGCCGAACCGTACCCATCATTTTCGTGACTCACATTTGGTCCTTAAAATTCAAAACGCTGATGAGGATGTCAGACACATATCGACGGGCCGCTTATTATTTACGTTGATACAATCTTGCTTGCTTTATACCGGTTGAGTAAACTAAATCAAAGAGTTTCACAATAGATTGTTCCTTATCTACGTGTACGATTAAACTTAAAACGCTTTCAAGCATACAGCTCTTGGTTTCCTTTATATTATGTCTAAATTTAGTACGTAAAATGTGAGACAAACGCTCAGTTGCAACGATTTTTTTCATCATGTTTATAGGTCATGTTCTGTGGTAACGTTCAAACCTTGATTCAAGTTTTTTCCTCCATAAGCTAAACACCTAAGTCGAACTCAGCATTTGCAAACTCAAACTGACAGATTTCCCAAATGATTACATTCTTTTGGTAGGGTTCAATGCCATACAAAAATTTCATACTGATAGATGTGTTTTACTACCATAGAATCTTTGCTCATGCATTTCTTCTCATCGAATCTCTAAGTCTTTTGTAGTTATTGTTTTTTTTTACAGTTTGTTTATTCGTACGTCTCAGATCTCTACAATTATGTGATCATATTAGAAGAATCGTTAGTGTTTCTCAGGCCCATTTTGGAATCTGTAGTCTTCATCTATAATTACATTAACATATATAATTTTAATGTATATTTTTGTAAGCTCTATTTTATTTGACTATTCCATATGGTTGTGCACTCTATTTAAAGTATATGCTTCTGTGATAGTATAACACTTGGATGACAAGACTTTCTGCCTACCTCCGACTGAATACGACTATGAAAGGTCAATGCGTCAAGTATTTGTAAAGAATAAAATGTACTTCTTTTATAGTAATTGTGATTTTACTTGTTAAATAGTGATGGTATTCATTGTAATTCTCTCCAAGGCAATTATGGTAATGAACGTGTTCAAAAGTATTGTCACCAATAGAGTAAATATGAGGTTACGTCATCCATTAGGGACGAACAAATGAATCATAGTGGTTTATTTTCCAAAGCAATCATGTTGTAGCATAATATAATCCACACAGTTGATGTCCAATAGTTTTGGTAATATGTTTGTGAGATTTATTTGTTACTGATGTAATTAAAAGCATTCAAGCCTCGTGACTGTGTCCTAGTATATCACGCACATGTGTACGAAATCATGCTCGAATCTGCGAATTTTACCATGAGGGTCTCATGCTAGAGGAAAGCATCGTGGATTGAAGTCTTCATCCTAGCTCAGTAACCAAACAGAGCCACGTTTGTAACACTGCTGTGATACACGTCTCTCACATTGTCCGTGGAAGTGACAAATACAGGCGTGGGCACGACACGAAAGCAAGACATGTACGAATGAGTCCAAAAGTACATACACGTCCACGTACACGAACATGCAAACAAATCATGAGTTGTATCAAATCCTGCGTGATGTAAAAACCAACCACAATTATTGGAAGTGTACCAGGTATACACAAATTTTGCATATTAGTGTAGTTCTCATTAATCAGTGAAGCTTTTGCTAGCCAATGAGCTGATCGTCACGGCAGTATGGATTTGCAAGTATAGTCTAGCTCACTGTTATGTGCTGGAGCGTGTGTGTAGACTCTTGTACATAGTTGCATTTAATCATATTTCCTGGTTGCCGTTCAATTCTCAAAGGGAGAAATATCGATTGATTTAATTTACCAAAAAATATGTTATTATGGTGTGTCTGTTCTTTTCAAAGTTGAATTGAACATTTATTGTCTTGTCAATGTGAAAAACTACTCAAGTTATTGCCGGTTTAAATGTTATTGTGTGTAGATATGTATATAATAAGCCATGGACCCGTAATTCCAAAAGGTAAGAACTGCCACAGTAATTTAACATACGAGGGGTGCTCTGTTCTTTCCCTTATATGCAAAGTGTTTTCAGTGGGTTAATCAGTCACTGTGTTATACTTCTAATCGATTTTATTGCAGATTCGAAACACATTCACGAAAATAATGTTTCTTTGATAATTAGGAAACGTCGAAACTTAGGTTGGTTGTATATGAACTGAAAGTCATTATGACGACGTCAGGTCGCTCTAAACTAAAATTACTGTAACTATAATCACAAGTTCATAGATGTGCATGGTATTTTGAGAGGATTTATGTATGTATCTCCTGCTGCAATCAGATAACCTAAACAACTAAGTATTTCTAATGTTACAGAAAAAATTTAAATCACTATTTCTCTTAAATGCAACAAATTTCTCAAGATATACAGAATATATATAATTGTTCAAAGACTTATCATGTCGCCTTGATAAATTAATCTACTTGTGGATCTAATCGGAAGCACAACAGCGCCGACTTGGCAAAAAATACAAAATAAAGCATGAAAATGCATTGTTTGATAAATCTTTGAGATCTAGTGCAAAAAACGGAACACTTCACCAGTGATAGTGAATCTGTTAATGAGAAAATAAATTAGAAATATAATTTCAATATTAACATTACAATGTCATCCGAACCCGACATCCACAAAATATTATTATTTTGAATCTTAAACGACATATAAGTGGAACATGGCAAACTGATAAAAATTCATAAAGTAATTTCCAAGTCCAATAAAGCAAAAACCATAGTTTAGATGCAAGGACTCCAGCACCTTTGATGTTATTTGATATATCCATGCAAAATTTGGCAGAGTTCGAGCTGGCGTAATACTTAGTAATATATTATTTGAGTCCACTTGGACTGCAAGTGAATTTATGAAAATTCAGTCCAAGATCGCATGAAAATTTTCTGATGATTTCAAGATCTACAAGCCCTTTTAATTCTGTCTGATTTACAATTTCGAATTAGCATATCACAAAAATATTACTGGTCATGATTTTTGACGTAGCTTTAACAGTGTTTCAGTCACATCGCTATGGTGCCTGCTGTGTGGCAGTTTATAGTGATGTCTAGCAATGAGGCGTCATGCCGCAAACATGCAGCATGATGTCCCACCCAGTCACATTATCCTAACACCAGGCCAACCAGTTCTAACACTAACCGCTTAATGCTGAGCGCCAAGAGAAGCAGCTGTTAGCACCATTTTTGTAAGCCTTTGGTATGACTCAACCGGAGTTCGAACCCAAAACCTCCCGCATCAGAGGCGGACGCTCTAACCAATAGGCAACCTGAACGGTCATGTCATTTGGATTATAACCTCATTATTCATATACTACTGTATATACAGGAGGAGATCAAACTGGATAAATCAATCAATTTATGGTTTCAGCATATATGGAAACCTCAGTGGCATTAGGACTGTTACGACTGTATGGTCTCAATCTAAGGAGCAGATCTAAGTAACAAAAGAAACCTAAACCAACAATCTTTGCAAAACATAACTAACAATAAGATCTTTGCAAAGAGTGCAAAATAAAATTGAAAATAACTAAAGTATGGTGAATTAAATCTCAAATAGTCCAAACTTGTCTACCACAAGTCCAAAAGTATATAGTTTTCCAAGTTCTATTACTACTCTGAATGAAGTCCAATCTCTCTCTCTCTCTCTCTCTCTCTCTCTCTCTCTCTCTCTCTCTCTCTCTCTCTCTCTCTCTCTCTCTCTCTCTCTCTCTCTCTCTCTCTCTCTCTCTCTCTCTCTCTCTCTCTCTCTCTCTCTCTATATATATATATATATATATATATATATATATATATATATATATATATATATATATATATATATATATATATATTTAGTGTGTGTGAGTGATGAACAAGACCTTCGCCCTATCTAACGCACTACATCCGAAAAACTGTTGTGTATAGCCCCCAAATAATCAATGTTCCAGAATAATTCAAATTTCTTAAGTGTTCGCGTGATCTTTCATGATTACAAGATATCATTCCAAGTGTATACAAACCAAGCAGAGATAATGTGAAACTTCTCTCGAATATGCGTGGGGGAATCGTATCAACGGAGCCTTTCGGGATTAAAGTGGATCGAATTACATTAAAACGATAGCTTTTATTTCATGCCAAGCAGTAATTTAGTATGAAAAATGTTGATAATCGCTGTTTTGAACGAGACGTTGAGTCTGCGTTTCATAACAGCCATATCAGATAAGTTTTTGAAGTCGACCTAAATAATCCGGATGAGACTCAAAAAGCTCATACTGAATTAACTCATTAACCCCTGACACCGCATTTACGGGCAGGAGATGGTAGCCTACTTCTGCGCTCTGTAGCGTTAAGGTCACACAATAAAGTGGGTGGTATTATAGAAAGGTAGACAGATGTAGCTTTAGGAGGATACCAAATAATATAATGTTCTAGATGCACTACAAAATAAAGTGAGGGAAAAACGTCACTTTTTTGACCCAAGTTTTTTCCAGCCGAAATTCTCCCGAGGTCGTGATCCGGTTTTGTGTCCGGATTTTAGACTTTTGGGCCTCATATCTAAGACAGACCAGTCTAAATTGCACACAGACAGGTGAACATTTGCAAAAAGTATGATAAGATGGGCGTTTAGAATGAATGTCTCGACACGAAAATGATGAGTCCGTTAAGCAAAAACAAGAAAAAAAGAACTCCAAATTTTACCCTTCTGCCCATGCTCAGGCGAAAAAGCCAATGAAAATCGACGTTTCTAACACAAATAAACATTAAGTTAACCGAAAATGTATTGGAAGTCTGTGTATTATAATGTATTCAGAAATATCTCCCAAAATCGATTTCCTGCTCGCATTTCAGGGCGAAAACGACAAAAACCTCCAGGGGTTAATGGGTTAACTCCTAGCACCGAAAGTGTGCTGGCTGTCGCCAAAACAGTTTGCGCTAGTTGACGATTCCAGAAGAAAATACACATAATGTATTGTCGAATACCAAACCTGAGTCTAAAGCGCAACATTGTTGTTCACATACGAAACCTCTAGCTGTAATTGAAGCTTGGGATGCATACATGCAACGATCACCGAATGTAACAGTTTCGCCAGAGCGTATAAATGGCCCTGTATATTCACATGAATACAAACCTACCTAATGCAGTAACCAACGAGTTTGAGAAAAACCTTTCAAACTTTTGAGCAATCCTTTGTTCGGCAAAATATATCTACAGACGAATTTGCGATCATAGGGTAAACCTTGTCCGCGATATTGAAAAAGACAAACGTCGAAGAATTATTGCTGACCTCGAGCTGAGTCAGTGGCCCCTTCGACTGAAAACGCATTGCCGTAAACTTTTATGTATTTAGTCTAAATTTTATAACTTTTGTTCATGACCGTAAATTGTACTGATCATCTCAAGAGTTTGCCTACGGTCTGTCTTAGGCATTTAACAGTGCATAAGATATGTACATATATATGATTACGTACGTCTTGACAGTTGTTTATTATAGAATTATTAGTAAACATGTTTACAAGACACGACCATCCTAATGTAGAAAGACCGTTCTGGTGGTATATTAAAAGAATTAAGGTAATTCCAATCGCTGAGACAGGTCACATGAATACGCGGTAATAATTAGAGAACTTGGCAATCACATTAACGTTCCTATTTTGGAGTCATTCTTATTTCTTGTGTTTCCGCTGCAATTCCTCTCAGACATATAATAGTGTTCTACAAAGATATTCACAAGGATATTTTCGAAGAAATACAGTCCAATTAAGCCGTAAGAGCAATAGCGAAGATACAATTTGACGTTATGAAGGTGCTGGTAAAGCAAAGCAAACGACATCCTCATTGTGGACGCCTGCGATAATCGATTAATTGACCACAGAACCATATTGTTGTCATTTATACCGTCAGGAACCGCACCAATGCTTTCTTTCTCTGCACTCACTACAGAAGCGAAGCAATTTTCAGGGAGGGTTGCATCGCAAGTAAGTACCAACATAGTCTCAGAACACCAAACCACATGTAAGTGGCGTTTCAATGTGCAACTCGTGCTGACGACCAATCAATTAGTGCGATAATATTTGACAGGATATGAGAGTCTGAAGTTTCTCTGAGGTCAAACGGCCACGAAGATATAAGGTGATAGATAAACTGTCGTGATAAGAATTATAAAACGTGCACATCAACTAGATATTGGATTGAAGATGCAATGATTTAAGGAACAAATGTTAAATATAAAATTTATTAAATGAAATAGTGGGTCGGAAGGTCTTTCAATTTTAGTCAAAGGTTTGAAAGATGACAAAATAGTTGTGCTTGGAGAAAGTAAATGGGATCGTTGTCCCTAATTGTTACAATAAAATATATTTAAATTTCAACGTATTATCAACAGTACATTTGATTATCACATCTCTGATCAAAAATCTTATAAAGCTTTCAGCATTTTTCTAAATGCTAAAAATTAATCATAAGTTAGAAGGAAACCATATTCTCCGGAATAGGATTTTAAGCGATTTGTTTCTCAAAAATTGCATGCATTTTTTATATTCTGTTTTTTTATTAATTTTAATTTTTTTAAAATCACTTTTAAAAGGACCTGAAAATTTTCATACGATATGTAAATTTCGCACAATGAATCACAAGGAATAACATAAAAGCCTGTTACGTATACATAGCAAATTATTTCCAAAATATTAAATTATCCTGCTGTCGATACGAAAACTATATCAGTGCAAATGTCAAAGCAGAATTTAACAAAAATAGAGTCTGCGACTAATGTTGTTGAGGGTGGGTCTCTGGATCCCTTGCAGTAACGCTATTCGACGCATGCTAGTTTGTTATGTTTTCCAAGTCGGTCATAAAAGATTTGTCAGCCCGGTAAATTAGCAGGTAATAAATTTATTTCTTCACAAACCTATCTGGTTTCGTAAAAATTTCATTTTAGTAAGCGATACGAATCTTCTAGATATCATTGACTATCAAGAAGTCGCTTGAAAACCAGTTACCGCCCTTTGACTATACCCAACATATATTGCGGAAGAATTTTTTTTTAATGCGCACTGATTGTTTAAAATTTAATTTTCTTTGGAGGCGTTGTCTAATAGAATACGCTAAACATTAGCTCAGTGATTGGTGCCATTTGTTTACCTGCCTGCCTGGGTTCGAATCTCCGTAGAGTACGAATTAAAAATTCTCCAATCTGCATACTAGTTTTATTTGTATTATATATTAATTCGCCTACAAATCAAGCATTCTTCTCTAGAATCCAGGGACAGCACATTCCATTGTCTTTTGTGTGTGTGTGTGTGTGTGTGTGTGTGTGTGTGTGTGTGTGTGATAAATTAAATATTTTCATATTAAACTACGATGTAAGGGTTGTCCAATATTTGATAGTAACCACTTTCGTATTATCCAATCGTCGTGTTACACTGTTGTAAGTCACATTACTTCCTGATAACTTTTACTTTGCTATCAGACGGTAAAATAACTTTAGCATAAATAATGTATTTATTTCTTGATTATTGATCAGTAGTAGTTCTAAAATTTTGTTTTTGATGTTATAAGTATCGGTATACTGGTGATAAGTTCTGTGTTTCTTGAATGGACTTTTAGAAAGGATTCTATTGAATAAACTGACTTGAACGCTTGAAAACGGGAAAAAATCTATATATATATATATATATATATATATATATATATATATATATATATATATATATATATATATATATATATATATATATATATATATATATAGAAAGATATGATTCTTAAATTACGACCCATTCATGCTTATGTGAAATATTATGAGAAATCATTACATGCTTATTTTGCTATGGTCACCGATACCTTTCCTTGTGTGATTTTAATTATTTTCGAGAAAATTTGTTATGGTTCTTTGTGACTAAAATCAATTCTCGTTTTGGCGCATTATTCTACGTAAATGAAGTTTGAGAATAACAGCATATTCTAAATAGCCTATATGTTTTTTGTGACAAACAAACATGACACATGTACATAAAAAAAATCGAAAGGTAAAAGTTAATGCATAAAACGAATTTATTAAGTGTACATGACAGAAACGAATTACTGTGCTATTAATACATCCAACGAGTGTTGTTATGTGTACATAACAGAAACGAGTTACTTTGCTATCAATGCATCCAACGAGTGTTGTTATGTGTACATAACAGAAACGAATTACTTTGCTATCAATGCATCCAACGAGTGTTGTTATGTGTACATAACAGAAACGAGTTACTTTGCTATTAATACATCAAATTAGCGTTGTTATGTGTACATAACA